TAATAGATTTTACTATGATACTTATCCCCGAATTTTACTATGTTGATCCTTTCCTTCATTGATGGATCACGAATTAACTTTTCTTTCATATCTTCTTGTTATTCTTCAAGCAAATTCTAATGCTTCATATTCTTTATTTTTTCTTTTAATTTTTTCTTTTTCTTCTTTTTGAAGATATTCTGATTTTTTCTCTTCCTTTTTCTGTATATTCTTGTAACAGTTACTACAGATTTTGTGTGAGTGATGATCTTTCAAATCTTTTTTGTATAATATTTCCTTACAGTTTTCTAATCTGCAATGATGTCCCACAACATGATGATATTCTTTTAAAATTTCCTTTCTTTTACATTCATCACATTCTTTTAGTCAGTCTAATTCTTCTTGTTGATATCTGTTATTTTCGTAATTTTTTCCAAATGAATATTCTCTTCCTAATTCATTAATTATTCCTTGGTTCTTACAATCTCTTTCCAAATGTCCTTTTCCATTACAAATTCCACAATTCCTTCCTGGACAAAATCTTTTAATGTGTCCTTTATTTCTGCAAAGTTCACATTCTATGTCTGGACAGTCTTGGAAGTAGTGTCCTTCCTTGTTACAATTTGACAAGTATTTCTCTTTCTTTCCATTGGACAAATTCTATTATTTTCTTGAGGACTTCTTTCCTTAAAATCTTTCCATTCTTTTTCATATTTTTTGTTTTCTGGATATAATTCATTTCATTGGTCAATTTCTTCTGGATAAAATTTCTCTTGTTGGATTATTTCTTGATGATTCTGTTAATTAATTCCTTCTGGATAAAATCTTTCTTGTTGTTTTGTATTGACTTCTCCTAATCTTTGTAAAATATGACTTTCTTTTTTATGTTCTTTTATAGTGATCATCCCTAATCTTGTCTCCAATTTATTTTTTCTTTTGATTTTTTCTTCTATTTCTTTTTCTAATTCACTGATTTCTATTTGAATTTTTTCTTTTTCTTCTTTTTCTTTTTGCTTTTTAATCTTCTTTAGAACTTTTTGATATTCTTCAAATTTTCTAAAATCTTTTGTTGTTCTTCTTCAGTGATAATAGGGCTAGTAACTTGACTATTTTGTTGACTCATTTTTGTATATTATTTTTGTGATTTTGTTTAATTTGTATATTCTAATTATTTCTTTTTGAATTAAATTTTTCTTTCTCGTAAATTTTTAATTATAAATATTTCTGTTTTATAATTTTTTGAATTTAATATTCTTATTTTTCTTTTTAATTCTTTGTTAATTTTTGTAATTCTTTTGATCAATTTTTTTGATTTTTTATTATTTCTTTTTAATAGCCTTTCCTGTATTTCTTTTATTTTTTTTTAATTATTTCTTTTTCTTTTTCTTGGAGTTTTTCCATTTCCCTGGTTAGTCTTTTTCTTCCTCTTTTTATAACTCTGAATTTTTAGCTGACAAATTCTTTCTTCTTGATTTATAATTTTCTTTTGATTTCTAATTTTTGGTCCTTCGGGATTAGGGATGGGAACGGTTCCTGTCACGCGACGCGACGAATAATATTTCCACAATTGATCCGTGACGATTAATATACTAAATTACAGGTGACATTTAGATTGCCAAAACAAGACAAATTAATTGTCACC